TGCCCGCTCTGGAAGGAAGCGTGATCCAGACCGTCCCTCCGGCAGCTGGTGTCTTCCTGTCCTGTCAGACCTGCGCGGTTTGTGTCAATTAACGGAAGCAAACCACAAGATCTGTCTTAAGAATTTTCAGTGAGTTTTAACCTTTTGTGACATACATCAGTGTGAAAAAAAAAAAAAAATCCTTTGGAAGCAATTGTCTGTAATAAATAGGGGGAAATTGCAGAAACCAGTGATTTTTTTTTTTTTGGTCCTCTGTTTTCCTCCCTTCTCCACAGGTTTGTTGACTGTCTTGTGAAGAGGAATGCAAATTTATTCTTTTCACTGTACAATAAATTCACATTTTTCAAATAACAGCTAAGAAGGAAGTATTTCATACCGATGAGCACTCAACATTGCCGATTTGCAAAGCATCAGCTGATGTTCCACCATCCCTTACCATATCCTCCTTCCCTCTGAGGAGGAATCTCCCATGCACTCCTCACCCTCTCGTCTACCCAGGCTCTCAGTGGGGCAGCCTTATTAAATTCATGCAGTGTGCTGTGAAAATCTCTCCATGTATATTTTACTTTTGCAAAAATGGTGGTCATCGGCTAGTTGATGCTATAAGCATCAAATGCTTTTAGTAAACAAATGATAAAACAAAAAATCAGCTTTTCTTACAGCGATTTCCTTCATCCAAAATGTTAACTTATTTTACAACTGCTTACTTATGTTGGATGACCCTTTTAAACTTCATACAGACATTCAAAAAGGCACGAAAAGCTACACTAGAGCAAAGTGATATTTTTTTTAAAGGTTTCATGACTGCATTATGGATTTGTACTGATAAAATGATCCATCGAGGCACTTGTTGGGACAACAGGACAGCTAGACAGAACCACAGTGGCTATGCCTATGTAGTTGCACCTGGAGAGCTCCTGTAAAGAAACCTGTGTGTATGGTGGGACAAGAGCCTTAGTACATCTCAACAGATAGTTCTATTGAAAGCCCAAAACACTAAGCAATGCACATATTAGAACACTTTAAGATACCTACTACTCTCTCAGGTAATTGCATATGTACACACAGATGTACACATATATGTATATGCGCACGTATATATTTGGCAACTGTTACTGTAATTAATGTCCTTTTAATAGAATACATTTCATTTGCACAGATCAGGTAGAGTGGTACTAGCTCCCTAGTTAAGATTTCTGCCTTTTACGTTTGAGTTTACTGTAGTCAGTGGTTGTCTTCCTGCTCCTTATTCTTCGTTTCCTCAATGCTGAGACCTACTATCAGCATTTTTAATTTAAGTGCTGCTACCAGGATTTGGTATTTTCATTCAGTTGTTTTCACTAATTATTTAGCTGCTTATAAACCTCATTTCTGTATTTGTAAACTACCCTAAAAACACTTAAAAGACTGCCTAAAACAGAGCAAGCATAATGGTGCAGAGATGTTCAAGCATGGATTACAGATTCTGTTGCTGAGCCAATTTTTTATATCCCGTTGAGAATCTGCCCTAGGCATACAGTCTAAGAATAGCAAAGGCCATGTATGATTAGACTTAGGAACTGTTCCTGTGCAGCTAAATTCATAAACATTCATTTGTCTACTGTAAAACATATAATCACAGTAATTCGTTACATAATTACATAAGTTAACTCAATTTTTCAGTTGGACTTCATAAATGTGTGACTAGACAAGGGGAAAAAAAAGCATGTGGAATCATTTGTAATTTAAACTCAGTTTATTTATCAGATGACAATATTAAAAAAAATAAATTGTAAACTGTGTGGCCTCAAATGGGAGTCCAGTATCTGCAGTGACCTGCAGACTTGCCCATTGCTCTGTGCCTTCTGCATGCGCTGAGCTGAAGTGCCAAAGTCCTGCCCACACAGGGCCTGGCGCAGCATCGCAAAGCGTGTGCACATACCTGCTCAAACCGCCAGTGATTCCTAAGAGGGTCTTTTATGGACCACAGGGATTTCGGACAACTCCCTTCCCAGTGTGACCCATCCATAAGGAAAGCTGCGTTATGGAGAACAAGACTCCCTGCGCTTGCTCTTTTGACAAGGGTCTGAAAATGCATCAGGTTGTGTACTTGTGCCTGTGTCTCCAATAGGGCAGGTGTGCAAGGACGGGTGACAAATGGCCGGACCACCTCTTTCTATAACCCTGCACCCCATCCTCATCAGCCTCACAAGCTCTAATTGCATGGGCTACTAAGGGAGAGATGGAGAATAGTATTGTTTTCCGCAAATGTAGGGTAGAGAATTATTCTTGCAATCAAATAATTACTTACTGTGACATTGGATTTTTTATTAGTATGCATTATGCCAAATAATTGCTTTCAGGCTTTTGTTTTAAATGGAAACGCATATATTAGGGATATTTAATGACCGTTACATTACTCTCCATCTTGAAGTATAAAAATAAACAAATCAACTTTCATTAATCTTCAACCATTATTCATGTACAAGCATTTGCTGTATATTTTCTGACATTCAAAAGTAATACTTCCAGCCATAGCAGTACAAGTAATATTAACCAATCATACTTGAAAACATTGAATTTTAGTTAATTTATGATACATGCTCTAACATTAAGTAATATAAATAGTAATTTGCAGTGTAGGGACTGTGAATGTTGGCAAGCCATTTGAAGAGATTCTTCTGAAAACAGGTAACCTGGAGAGAACATAAATACTGTCAAAAGGTATCATTTGCTTTTTATCACAGTAAAACACTTTCAATCAGCTCTGCTGCAACTATTAGAAAAAAAAATGAAAAAAGGCTATTAAGATCTTTCTGAAACTTCAGCATTATACATTGACATGTTCATATTTAACCAGTACAGTGATCTACTTAGGAAGTGTGAAAACACAGAGAGCAAACAGAAGAGATCATATTAAATAATTGGGACCTGAAGCCATTGGAAAACAAAAAATTCTCAGTTGCAATCTTCACATTGTGCAAAAAATTAGCTTATATACCCTGGAGTGTTTCAGATGAAAAAATGTCGCTATCCTTGTGATAGATGAGAATTTGATTCATCAATAATTTATACGTACTACAGAGCAGAATTAGTGTAAAGTGTGTTCCAAGACCCATTTCTGTAAGCAAAGTAGAGACAAAGCAGGCAATGAACTGTCAGCTCCTTTAACACACTCGCCTGAGATCTGTAAATATTAGAATGGATATTTATCAGCATCATAGAAGGAACTCTTCCAACAAAAGATGAGTGTATGGGTAGTGTTGAGGTTGTACATGGAACCACTTCTGCAGAATGTTTTCCTTCAGCGAAATAACTGTGGAAGGATAGAGACTGGAAAGAAAATGAGAAGGCATATGGAACATGGAAAAAAAAAACCAACCCAACCCACAATTATTTAGCCACAGTGCTGAATAACAATTGAGAACTAAACTGGAAGTGAACACCCGGGAATACTGCTGTAGGAGGAGGCTGACTGGGATGACAATAGTCCTTACTATAGCAGAGAAACCTGGAAGGTGTAGTAGATGTTACAGCATCTGAAAAGATGCTTCTAAAGAAGGAGCATGACACTGCCACAGGTAATTGGCCGTATGTTCTGTGCTGCTGGAATGTGATGTAGCTCCACCGAAGGAGAGAGAACGGAACTGTTTTTCCTCATCTGAGGACCAGACCCACTGGTTTGTGAGATATGAGCTTTCACAGCCCATTGTATACACCAAATATATTTCAGTTCTTCTGTTGATGATCACTTTGCCTCTATGGCTTGAGTACTAGAGATGATAAATTTTCGTCTCTGTTCTACAGTTTCCTTGAAGGAAATGGCAGCAGTACCAATAAAGGATGGAGAATGACAATGAGAATAGGCTCAAGCTGTATTGGGTACCTAATGCAGATAAAATGCTTGTGACCTCGACATCCTTTGTACAGCACCCACTGAATGAATAAGAGGAAGTGTTGCATTAGCTGTGGAAACATGAACTCAGTAAAATATTGATACATGGTTTAGCCACTTATGTGGTTTTATATCATGGAGTTTGATGTGTATTTAAATATAAAAGTAATCTGTGCTTAAATTCAAAGATGACTTCTTGGCATTCCTTCATGATATAGTTTGTTCTGTATACAGATGGCATTACAGATTAGCAATACATGATGTGTTTTTTCTTTAGAAAGTACCTCTTTTACAACACACGGCACTTTATTCAACATGCCTACACATTGCTTAGATTCCTAGACGTTGCTTTGCTGTTACTAAGCTCTAACAAGGAAGCCTATGGAGTAATATGGAACATTCTTCCACTGATAGAATAAGGGATGAAAAACATCTTAAGGTTGTTTACTGTTTGCACAAAGACATTGTACAATTTTGTAAGTCCTTTGATTAAATTCGTACTTTCTACAAATGCAGTTGTTTCAATATCCTGAAGCAGTTTAAATTTCACCTTTATGTGGAAGTACATTCCTTATTATGTGTGAAAAGTGGAAATGCACTTAAAGTTTAGAAAGAATCTTAATTTAAACTGTCCTTTATTTCTGCTATTCACATTACTTAGAAATATTTAATAATAACTTAAATGTGCCTATACGGATAGATTTTTGTGCTCGGAATGAAATAATCATAGTTGGTATATAATTAAGACTGCATTATCCAAAGATGAAGGCCTCTTCTTTTTTTTTTTTTTGTGATTAGGAATTATTATATTTATTTTACAGATAGGAGAATGGGAGGCAAATGTGTACTGACTCCCGATCAGTCACAAGAAGTCACTGACAGCTGGAAAAGAACACAAATCCACCAACCTATAACCTGGCATCCTATTCTGTGGACGGTGTTTTTCCCCTAGTCTGAGAGAAATTCAGTTCCCAGTGATCAGGCATTCATAACCCTTGGTTTGCAGCATGGGAAGGGCACTAGGAACAAATTCATCTCAATTAAACTATTAATAGAGAGGGATGAGGAGGTAAATGCATTCACACACTTAGCATTAGACACATAAATGCCCAGGCTAGGAACCTGCACTCCTTCTGTAGTTAACTGACTCTCTCCTGACTATGTACAGAGCCTGAAGAGCTACTTTACTAAGTTAGTCTCCTAAGTCAGGTACCAAAAGTTGTAAGGAAGAACAGCTTCCAAATAGCCTACACAATTTAATTTTACCTCTTATATTGCTTCTGTATTCAGGCTAAATATTAATTTAAACTTAATAATGTTTTGATGTGTAAATAAACTGCTGTAAGAGACACTGCTTCTCTCTTCAGTAAGGCTATGAAAGGCTGCTGTGACTTCCATTGGCATCTCCTGACTTTCTCATGTTAATCATCTGTGAAGTTCAAACACCATGCAGAAAAGAGATCAGCATCTTTTTGCAGCGGCTTTGAACTTTCTTTATTCAAAAGGGCAGCTAGAACTATAATTAGGTACAGTTAGTCTTCATTATTTAGCTCATTTATTATTTATGTCTTCCTCCCACAGTGCCTGTGAACCTCGCAACTTGTGCTGGCAGAGATGGGAGTCTGAATGTTGCTCTGGTTGCTTTCACAAGCTCCAAGTAACACAGCAGTCCCCGTGGCATGGCCCTTGATTCATAAGCTGGGCTTTTGGGGT